AACATACATTTATATTTGTTTATGAATGTGTATATACAATGAAATAATGTTAATGTATGGGTGAACCCATACTCACTCCCGACAATAAGAAATACAAAGAAAAAATTATAAATGCTATGAAGGTATACAAATTATGGTATAAAATAAGACAACATAAGTAATATTTAAGAAAAGCAAACAACGCATATGGAATAAAAGATAAAATTAGACAATATTGATAATAATAATTAAAAGTTTACAATCTTTAAGTGTCTATCATTATGCTTGCATCATTTGACCTATTGCACTTGGTACACGACCTATTACACTTGGTTGCCTTGCCCCGGTCGTGTCCTACACGTGGCCGGAAATCTTTCGAAGATTTCCCCCCGTCAACAAAAAAAAATAAATAGTTTCCAGATAACATATTCAAATATTCATGAGAGCGATTGTCAGATGTGTTTTTTGTCAGATATTTGTCTCCACAAATTATGATATTTTTATAGTTCGATAATATTTCAAGAAGCCTATTTAGAGACGTAACGAAATTATTTGTGTAGTGTTGGCTCGGAGGACGGTATGTACCAATTATACGGGTATTTACATTTAATTTTAGTAGCAGACAATTGGCATCATCTAAATGTGGTTCCTCCGCCATAACTTTACAACCTACTTTATAATATATTACAACACCATCGTTTTGAGTTTTATGAGAGGTAGTAGAAAAGCTATTATATTGGTGGAGGTCTGGAACATATTGCGTTGAAGAGAGCCAACACTCAGAACAATTACATCCCAATCTATCTAAGACCTCGTTATGAAAACGTTAAAGTTATTCGTATATTTTGTCAGATGATTTTAAATTAGTACTTTTATTATGTATGTAAGAATCAACATTGTCTATATCACATTTAATACTTTAGATACTGAAAATGAATCAAGATTTTGAGATATAGATTTGATACTAGTACTATCGAATTTTAAGCAAGGGATACAAAAGGCACGGCTTAATGATGGATTGACAAGCTGGATTATAAATTAATTATGAGTATGATAGGCACTGCAATCGTATAATATATCAGATGGGAAGTAGATGTTTGAAAAGTTTTGTATGTTGAGAATGAAATTTTTAAACATTTTTGTGTGAATTATGATTTCGACGGTCGGTGGATGCAATGAAACCAAAATTATTTGACTTAATTAAAAGTAAGTTACAACTAGGGTGTGACTATGTTGCACGAAGGTTGAACAAATAGTGACATTAATTTAATCAAATTCTTAAAAGAAATCTTATAATCTAAAAACATAAAGAAATATAAAACCAAAAACTGTCTTCACACGGAACTGCTGAGTCAGACCCGTGTAGAATAGACGAGTTTACCCAGAACCTAAGGCGTCCTCTGATTACACCGTATAAAGATAATTATATTTTAAATTTTAATTAAACGACCACTTATTACACCGTCACATAACATGTGTGTTGATGTGTGTTTGTGATTGGGGTTATTGTTATTAAAATATAGATCAAATATCTATCATCAAATATTTCATTAACAGAGACATTGCTGTTAAGCCATGTTTCGGTTAAAATTATAATTATTACTTAATACTTCGCGATTTACATCTTGCGAGGTAGTATTTATGCCCCTAACATTAAGATAATAACATAAAAACGAATCGTATTTTACAAATTATAACCAACTCTATTAATTAAGAAAACATACAAAATTAATATTACGTAAAAATTCTTAAGAATATCAAAGTTTTTTACGTAAACGTATAGCGTATTTTCAGTTTTGCGCATATATACTCGTCCATTCTTCACCCAGACATAGCGGTATCCAATTTGTTTAGACTTTAAAAGTGCTTCAGCATGCAGGGTTTTTATGTCAGGAGGAAGATGTTCACATACGTAAACAGGTTTTTTGTCCCCTCTAATTCCTAGATGACTCGTATTCAGTTTTTCTTTGTTATTGCTCGCTAATTTATTTAATGATATAACTGCCGCTAAAAAACTATCTCTAATTCTCATTGTACTAAATTTCACCAGAACCGACCTCGGGCGTGGGCTATCCCTATTGATTTTCATAATCCTCGTACAAGTTTGTATGTCATTATCGTTCAAGTTACATTTGTTTTACAGTAGTTACAAGATTTTCTGACTTGAATTCAGGGAAGCATTGTATTTCTAGATTATATGCCCTAACTTGTTGTTCAAGTAATGCGAGTCTAGAATGAAGATTTGAAAGGTCAGAGCGCAACAAATTATTTTCATTCTCAAGAGACTTAATAATTTGTGTTTTACTGTTCATTTCCTGCTTTACTTCTTCAAATTCTTGTTCCATGAAAGTAATAGACGATGTTATACTATACATGTTTTCAAGAACCTCATTGATCTTTCCATTTATTTCACTCATAATTCACTAACTGTCGTCTATTCACACTTTAATTGTTTTTTTACAAAGAAAATTATGAAATGTCACCGACAATAACGATAACACGCGTTGTTTGGGATGTTAATAAAAAAGTAATGCATCTTAAACTGTTAAAAACTAATCAATTTTAATTTAAAACGAAATAATATGCGGAGTCGATATTTACTGACACATGCACTGACACTGTATCGACGCTCGGGAGCCAAATGAGGCTAACCTCCAATATGCAAACTTTACAGGAGGTTTAAAGTTCAAAAAAAAAATTTAAAAATCTTAAAAAAGTCTGCTTGATCAACAGGCTTAAAAATTTTGTCACATAGCTTTTAAATGTGTCTCCTAAAAATGGCATTTTTAATTAACTTGAAACTCACCGCGTTCTTTAGTTACCGGTTGGTTACCCTTAAAAGTTTCTGATTTAGAAACAGCCAAAACGTCCTAAGTCAAATTACTTTTGATTTCACTACAGGTCAAAAAGATCTAAATGCATATTAATTATTCTGCAAATGCAAGAAAAAAGCGTGTTAATAATATTTTAGTACGCATGAAGTGAGGTCAATGTAGCATAAGTGATTATTCATTAAGAATAGGTGACGAGAAAATTGTGCTAAGTCAAAAATCTGTTAAATAATTAGTAAGCATTTTGAAACAATTAAAATCATTGCGAAAAAGTTTCAAAAGTGAACTACCTACCTAATTAATAAATAAATAGAATTATTATGGCACAGAAAATCGGGTTTAGAAATACAACAAATTTTTGGCAAATAATCTTGTATTAGAAACAAAACAATCATATAACACTTTCTGGAAATATGGCGACTTAAAGCATGACAATCACTGAAATGCTTAAATATTATTATTATATAATTATCAACTAATGGAATTCCGGAATGTTCCGGAATTCCATTAATTTCCAGGTTACTTTCGCGCATATAGGGCGGTTTCAGACTAGCGTTTTATACGCGCGTATGAGCTGGTTTTTGGAAGCGCATGTAGGCGCGTATAGGCGCGCCTTTTGGCACACGCTCAACTCGTACAAGCGTTGTCGCGCTTCTAAGCTCGTATAAGCGCGAGCCAAAAGTAATTTTTAAATCGTTTAGAATCACTTCGCAGTTCTGGGTAAAGTGTATTAAAGTGACCGGTTATCAGTCTTGATGCAACTATCGGTGACACCCAGCACTTTTTCCGTCGTCTCAGTCGACGGCGAATAAGTAACGCAAAAAGTATGTTTCTTCGTCAGAATCCATGTTGATACTGACACGATACCACCGGTTCGAACGAACACGCCGAAATATGCGCGTTTACGCGCGTCCGGTTTTTTGAAGCGCGTAATGAAGCGCGCGTGTAAGCGCGTATACTGAAACGACCGTATACGCGCTGAAAAAAACGCTAGTCTGAAATCGCCCATATTGTTCAGTAAGATTTAATCGCGTAGTGAGATCTTTTACTTCCAGCGTTAGCTGATCATTTTTAGTTTGTAATTTTTGGATAGTAGCAGCACTAGTTTCTAAACATTTCTTAAAATTATCATACTGATCACTAAAAAAGTTCATAGCTTCTCTAAGTCTTCCCAATTCGGTGTTAATGTCACTTAATTGATTGGCTAAAATATGGCTTGGCTAATAGATGACATTTCGTTTTTAAACTTTTCTAACATATCTTGTAACGCTTCCTTAGTTACTACTAGGGTCTCAGAGTCGATACTGTCACCACTTTTTTGAATACTTTTTTTTTCGTAATGTAATATTATTAATATCCATTACTCTCACTTGATTGTTGTGTCAACTGCATTGCAATTTGATGATCTAACTGGCGTATTCGTATTATTTTTCTTTGGAAGTTTGCTGAGACAACCTTGGCACTTCCAAGTAGACTTATTATCCTTAGATATTAAATGATATCTTTTTGGAGAGATATTCGCACAGAAGAGATCATAGTTTTTTGTTTACATTGGTGACAGCTCATAAATTCTTTTTGAGGTATTTTATTACGACAGCCGGCACAGTTCATATTTACGAGAATTTTAACAGGACAGGGAAACAATAACTATTTATTTGAAAGTTTTAACACTTAAATCAGTACTTTAACGGAAAGTTTTAACACTATTTAGTTGATTGTTCACTTATTTAGGCACAGAACGTTATTAAAATTTCACAGTACTTAAATTACTTCGAGACAAATAAAATTTTACAGTTTTTATAACTTAAAACACAATATTTACTTCAAATCTGAATTTAGAAAGCGGAGACAATAACACACAACATGCACCTTGCACAGATGCGGGTCAACCTTTGGACGAGACTGCTTGCGCCCTTTATTGGGCTCCTGCGCCTTATGTACTGCCGCCGGGCCAGCCTTGTTCTTTCCCTTCTTCTTTTTGTTGGTTACCTCTGTCCATCTCTCCTCCATGGATGGAGGCGGCGGGGGCAGAGGTCTTGCCGTCGTATCCTTGTCTTTGACCTTTTTGGCCTTGGCACCGTTGGCCGCCGCTCCAGCCGCCTGGCCTCTGACGCAGCCGTGGCCGGTGCTGGTGTTCTGACCGGTGGTGCCTGTGTCTTATCCGATGCCAGGGGAGGTCTAAGGCGCCTTTCAGGCATCAGGCGCCCCTCTATGCCCTGGAGTTTCGCGTCCATCATGGCCCCGATTTCCCGCATCAGGGACCCGCGAAATTCTTCCTCCGTTCGGTCCGTCCTCGTTGCCCTTGGGGTTGTCCAGGTCCGCCTGTAGACGGGCCTGTCCGTCCCTCAACATCCCCAGCTCTTGTTGGAGGAGCGCGTTCTTGCGCTTCTCCTCCTCGAGCCGGGCTTGGAGGATTTCCGTTTCTTTTCCGCTGGTCCGCTGCAGGAGGACGTCTTTAGCTTCTCCCAACAACGCCGCCGACGTCTTCAGCGCCCGGACCCAGCCTCCTTTCAAATTCGTGGAGTTTGTGGCCACTTCCACAATAACCCCCAGGGCCCTCTCCATTTCTTTCGCTAGGGATGAGGCCGGCAACGTCTTTACTGACGATATTGCGGCTTCGACTCGCCTCGGCGTCATCGCCGCCGTTTCCTCATCCCTGGCACGATCACTATCGCCGTCCTCGCCTCTCCCTCTTTTTACGAGGGAGGATTTGGCACTGCCACCAGAGGAGCTCCCTTCTGACTCTCTCCTGAGCGGTCTCTTCCGGAACGGCTTGAAACTCGCCGTCGTCCCTCCAGCGAAGAACGCCGAGCGCGTCTCCTCCGCCTCCATTTCTGAGCCACTCGTGGTGTGCACTCTCCTAGTTACCGTGGTCTGCTCCTCCTGGTCCGAGCTGACCACCGTCGTCGTCCTGTCCAAATCACTAGCAAATCGTTGTCCATTATCCTTGCCATGTCCCGTGCCCACTGCACCTACTCTGCGAGGGTCTCTTGAAGAGAGACCCTCTCGGCATTGGTTGCCCCCCCCCAGAATACGTGGGGCTGACTGCCGTAGCAGTGAGGGATTCCCCGGTTTGCTCTTCGGGATACTCCTGGGGTAGTTTACTACAATTTTTACCAGATGCCATGTTGAAAAAAGTGACCCTGAGAAGGCAGGGCCAACCTGGTGCTTTCGGGACGAGCCACCCGCTCGCCATTCATCCCCTGACCAAACACCGGAAGTCGAGATTGGGGGCCGTATAAGCCTATCCGTTCACAGATATTCATCCACATTCACAAACAAGCGAAAAGTTACTATTTTAGAAATATTTTTGCAATGTATGTCTGAATTTTGAATATGAATCGCGAAACATGTCCAAGTCTGTTAAAAAAAAATATTTTCGATATGCAATGCATTACACGGTAATTCAAATATAGTTTCTGTAATTTAAACATAGTTTTGTAATCTTTCTACATTGGTTTAAAGTTCCTAAACATAATTTAGGACATATATTTTTATTTATTAAATAATTTAAATTATAATATTATGTTTTAAGTTGATTGCTATATAATTCGATAACGGTATAATGCTAATCATGTTATTTTCCTTTCTATTAGGTATTGGAATAATACGAAATATTTCATATGTCTCCAATTACCAATGGTAATCTTATCTCTATTATTAAATATTTTTCTAATATTCTTGCTCTCTATTGAATCAATTTATAAATTTTATTTGTTTGTGTATATATATTGGGTATTGGCAAGGTCACGTCTTTATAAAGTTGCTTGTTATGGTACTCAGCTAAACTCCCAACTGCTTAGGTGTTATTAAATGTGGATTCAATCGACCATGATATACATACGTATATATGTAGACTATAATGGTGTCTAGTAACGTACTCTGTAATTTTTTTTAATTATTAAGCATGTTACTTCCGATGACAGCTCCTGCGAGTATTTCATTAATTATTGTTATATTTTGAATTTCTGATTGAAACGTATTTGTCGATTGATCCAATAAATTAATGTGCTTATGAATCATTTTATACTTATTGCTTGAGAACGTTATTTTCAGCTTCAATTATAGAAGTTTGATTTTTCCAGTATGATGCTAAGTTTAATTGGTTAGTACGAAGTAATGTGATATCTCTTTCATATTGTTCAGCGAATCTTGCGTCCAGTACCTGCTTCGAACAGGCTATTTTCAAGATATCCGACTCCGTTAATAAAATATGCTGACCAAGTAACAGCTGATTGTAATATTCCAGTTCGTCGCACCCGTGACGTAATTGTAATAATATGTAGTAGCTCGCATCGTGTCTGAGTTCTTATTGTTTTGAAGGTTTGTTTGAGTGATTTTTTATTCTTATTAATGGCTGTTATTCCTTCCCAATAAGGTTCCATATTGTAATATAGAATAAGTTTCCAATCGTCCCGTATTATTTGCATATCTCCAAACGTATCGAACTATAAACCTTGATTGTCTCTTAATTTAGTTATATTTGAAGTCGAATGTGTGCTGGATATAGTGATCATTAAGAAAAGCAAAGTCATGATTGCGGAACTGAGTCCACGACGAGTTGATATTCTTGTTTGTTTTTTCGTCAATGTAGATTCAAATGAAGTCAATTAAAATGAAGAGTGCTTTGTTGATTTTGATCATTAATTTGTCCTTGTAACAAATTATGATTGTTTGATACCCATTTTCGTAAATTGAATCCACCAAACTTTAATAAATTAATTACGTCCCTTTGTAGTTCCTTTGCTGATGATAAAGTATATAGAATTACTGTTCAATGATTTTTGCTGCTTCGTGCTAATTATCTCGTTCATCGTTCTCTAACTGTCGTAATGTTATCATAGCGAGAAAAAGAGTGGCTTTTAAACCGTATGTAACTGTAGTTAATTGATACTCCTGCAACTTATCCTTCGGATCATCTCTCCACACAATTTTCTGTAAATTCTGGTCATCCTCGTGCATCCATATGTTTTAAACTTTTTTTCAATATCTTTCGTAAACGCGATTTTGTATTGTCGCCATTTTAATATTAATAATTGAAGATTTTGTTGTAAATTGGGTCCTTTATACATGAGATCGTTTAAACTCAATCCCTATGATGTGAGCGATGACGCATTAAATACGACTCTCAGTAATTTTGTTGTTGAATCGTCACGTAAAACACAATGTTGTTGTAAATAACATGATGGTTTCGTGTTACTTGGCGGTTTCATGTGTCCCAACTCAATATATTCATTTATAAACAATTTATATTCCTTTGATAAATTTATTTTGTTTATTTTGCGTAGATATAAAGCTATGCGTCTTGTATTCTTGATTCGATATTTTTTTTATATGATTTGTGTCAGGTTTATGTTTACTAAAATAAACTATTATTATTATTATTATTATTTATATATATTTGTCTTCTCGGCATACACCGGTAGAATATAAATAACCTTTACGGACTGGCGTCAAGTAGAGGTTACTGTTGGATTGATTTAAGTTTGTGGAAAGGTTTCATCTAACTCTAAAAATTTCCTAACTATTCTACATGTGTTCAGTATAGCGGCTTTTTGGTATTATATGTATATAAGAAGTGGGTTTCAGTCCAATAAGTTTAAGGCTATTATGTAAATTATTGGGGATAACGCCGGTCGTTGATAGGACTATGGGTACTACGTAGACTTTATTTTGCTTCCAGATGCTTAGGATAGGACTTCGTCTTTAAGGTCGGTGTATTTATGAATTTTCTCCGCTATTGTTTTTTGCAAATTGTGAGTGTTAGGTACAGCTATGTCAATTAAGAATGTAATTTTATTGTGTTTGTCTGTGAGCACTATATCAGGCCGATTGTAATGGATGGTCCTATCAGTCAAAATTGCGGGATCGTAATATAGTTTATGTGTTTCGTTTTTAACACTGTGCTATTATTATTATTATGTGACATGGCTTCGGTAACATGATGACTCGGCCGAGCTTCCATTGGGTAGGGAAGTGGCCGGTCCTGAGGACTCCGTTGTACATATAATGAGTATAAAGAACTTCTTATTTCTCATAAGAATTTTACATTCACTTAAAATGAGATACAAGGAATATTAGCAAGATAACAATTTTTAACAATTTTAATCTCGTCACTGCTATTATGCCACGAGGGGGGAGGTGACGGGTGGCTTCGTTTGTAATTCCATCAGGACCGGGGCCTTCCGGAGCTTAGTACGGCGAATCTGGAAAAAAATTGGCCGAGGGTGATGATTATGGGGTCTTCCGTGGGGGCTATCGCTTGCTCGAGGTATTCGTCTACGGTTTGTTCGACTTCCTCTGCGTGCTGGGTGTCTTCGGTTGGGTATGGTTGGAACTGGGTCTCCAGGTGGTCAGCGAAGATCTCGGCTCGGTACGTTGCGCGGTAGCGTGGGGTGCCGTCACTCGCTAGCAGGGGCCGGATCGGTTCTGACTTCCTGGAGACTTGGCGGCATATGCGGTGGATACCCGTCCAGTCTTCTCCAGCTCGCTCGATGGTCTTGTACCAAGAGTCCACAGCGTGGTCCTCCAACACAGCTGAGACTCTCTCCGCCATAGCATTGAGCTGGGACTTGATGGTCGGGCATCGGGTCTACGCAGCCTCCTTTTGACTTCGATCATGTCTCGTATCCCGGCAGGTAACTGCGGTCGTTTCCGGTGTGATGTGGTGCTTAGCCGCGAGGCCTCGAGTGCCCGGGTGATCGACTCGGTAAGCTCGAGGGCGAGGCGGTCCACATCGTCGGGGCTGTCCACTTGAAAAGACCGCAAGTTGTTCGACAGGTGGTCCGCGAAGATATGCCAGTCTTGTCTATGACGCGGGGACGGGATTTCCCTCCGGATCGGCGCCAGATCAATAGTGACCAGAACCGGTTGGTGATCCGACATCATGTGGTCGTCTAGGACGTCAATGGACGGGTCTGTACTCAGGCCCTGCACTAAAGTGAGGTCGATGACGTCGGGCGCGGCGGCTATGTTTGTGACTCTGCTGCCGTGTTTATTTATTATTTTTCAAGTTCACTGTTTATGACTTTACAAAAATACAATCCAGCCAGACTAAATACGAGTATAACTTAAATGTAGCTTGCGCACCGAATACGAGACGCAAAGAGGTCTTAGCTTTTATTTCTATACATAAATAACATGATCTCTATATAACTGACACGATCTCTACATAACTATAAGTTATTATTTGGCTTCGTCGCAGACAATAATTGTACTTTTGTAATTTTTCCATTCTCGTTCCGTAGACGAATCAAGTTTTGTAACAATTAAATATGTATGTTCCTCAAAATATTGTCAATTAATTTACGTATTTGAACCGGTGACTCCTTATTTACCGCCACAGTAGAAAACAACGCTTTACATGGTTTTGTACGAGCAAACGATTATTATTGTTATATCGGTTTTCTAATAGATCCCATGTTATAATGTAATTTTCACACGTAAACTCCAATGATTTAATTACCATAAGTGCGTTACCTGTGAGAGAAGACCGCAAGTAATGGAACTTTTGTATCTTGTTGTCTATGTCTTCCGACTTATGAATCAGGGATAAATAGGTGTCGCGAAACTCAAGCCACTGATCATAGGAACCGTCAAAGGACGGCAAGGAAATTGTTGGTAGTTTTATCATTATTTTTACGTGAATTATTAGTAACGTTACTATTTTCGGCTAGGATACACTAGGACTTAGCTATATATGCATAATAATGGTTCTCGAAGGTTTCCCGCCCAATTAAATCCTTTTCAATTTGAGTATCTACGACATTACAGTCAATTTCATTCTGAATTTCAGAAAATTTATCCAACAATGACTCGGCTTTTTGCAACCGTTACAAATTACGTCAGTTATAAATACGTTTTCTATCGACTCAACATATTTGCAAATAAAGTAAATCTACCTTTTATATCCCCCTTTTCTTGTTTAAGTCCCTCAACGTATCTACCTACAGGCGTCATTATAATGGGTTTGTGGAAGCCAACGGCAAGAATTTATAATTTTCTAATGATGTGGGTAAGCGATGTACACTGCGCATAAAATAATGAATTACGCCCGGAATTAACACACTATTACCACAAAATAAGCACTGGATAGAGGTAAGGAAGGATAAAAGATGGATGATTGGCTGACTTGGCTGTATTCTGTTGACCCCTACGGATCCTTGATGCTGGTTTCGAGAGTGCGTTTTATGCTGGTCGTTTCTTTGTTTCATCCCGCTCGAAGGACCAATGTTTGTGATGTTGATGATGTTTTGAAATGAATACTTCTTTGATAGCCTTTAGATAATTTTAATGATGACCTTTTACAATTTTGGTAATGAGTTAGAATGTGTTCATGATTTTTAGGGCGATGATTCGCATGCCCTCCGAAAAATATTTAGTAAGACACCCTCTGGATTACACAATATATAGTTTGTAATTAAAAAAAGACACACAGTAGAATCCGTTTATTATGACATCAAAAGGAATTGACAAACACGCCATAATAAGCGGACGTCATACAAAGCGTTTTGTGATATGAAAAACCGCACTTTCCTCAAATTAATTTGTGTACCTCACTAAAATGTTCTGTTGAATAACTGTTATTAATAATTTTACTGTGTCAGCGATTATTTTAAATGTTGTTGAGTCCAAAGAGACCATCTACACGCATGTTTTTTACAACTCAGCTTTGAAACTTAATCCTCATCCCAAAACATTAAGTAAAGTGGGCTGCTTTCTCTTTTTACGGAGAACTGAGTCTCGGACTCTGTAGATGCTAGATATTCTGTCATTTCTTTTGTACTTGTACTTGGCACCACCTGGAAATAAGTAAATAGACAGTTATTAGTAAGAACACATCAACAAAAAATAAACTTATTAAAAATATATTATAGTATTGAATTGAAATATTGATATACATATAAGGAATATTATCAAGGCCATTCAAAGCAAACCACAATTTGTTTCTCTGAAAATACAAAGATTTAGTTTGCTAGACACGCTTTTACAAAATTATAACAATTATCGTTTAATTATGACAATTACACTTTACCTGAAAATATGTACAATGAAACTACATTAAAGTCCACTAATATCGCCTCCTCAATTATTTTATCTAATTTTATCTCTCTACACGTAATAATAATCATAAAGTGCACAAAAACTTAAACATAATTCGCCATTAGTGAATAGTGACGCGTCTCTGGTCGACAATTAAAATTTAATGAAATGTCATTTCATTACATCTCCCCCCCTAAGAAAGAGGATTCTACCTAATATAATCTATACTGCGTACCTACAAACTATCTTCATATTCGTTTTCTTCTATTATGTCTCCTACTGTGACATGTTGTAATTTTGATACATGGAATAAAGTTGATTCTCTTTTTCTATTGCCAATCTCAATCTTATAAATGGAGTTTGATATTTTCTCTATTATTTTGAAAGGGCCTATTTTTAATTCGTCGTTCGTCGTTCGTCACTGTCTCCTATGTCGTAGTCTTCCATTTTCCTATTTTTATCAAAAAAATTCTTGTTGTTTCTCTAATGCTAATTGTCTATCAGCAATCCACTTGTCTTCCTTTACTATTTTTTTAATGTCAGTTGGTAAAATACTGACATTTGTACCATCCAGTAAATTATATTTCTGTATATATTCTCTTCTCCTTTTCTACTTTCTTCTTTTGTTTGTCCTTCCGGGCTACGCTTCTTTCTGTCGGACCACGTGGTTTTGGGGGGCGTTCTTCAAACTCACGCGCCTCTGCCCAATCTGTCTCAGCTGCCCTCTGCTGCTGGAATTCATATGCTCGCCTCTGGCTCCTTGTACCTGTATTGGGTCTTCGGTTTTGATTATCGAATCCGCTAGCGGGCTTTCCACGCTGGATCGGATTGATACATCTACCATTGTAGGAATCGGACATCCTGTCTGAGATATTTCTCAACTAATAAAGTTTTCTTGTCATAAAAACGACAAGAAAATCACCAACCCGTCTTGAGCAAGCGTGGTGATTAATGCTCAAAAAACCTTCTCCATGTGAGAAGAGGCTATGCTCAGCAGTGGGCGTTGATAGGCTGATGACGATATATTCTCTTGCCACAGTTGTCCATTTTTTCTTATTATTTTTCTCATTCATTTTCCATCTTATTTTATTTACTATTGTTTGGTTTAATCGTTCGTTCAGCCTTTTCGAGAGTTTAAATTCATTTGAATTGATTCCTGGATATTGATCTGTCATAAATATTCCAATCTTATCTGTTTCTAGTACATTCTTTGTTAATTTTATAAAGTCACTTCACACTTGCATTCTGTGTTTTTGAAGTCGCAATAAAAGCAAATCTTGTGTAGTGATCCACTAAAAGGTGTGAGTATTTTATATATATAAGGAATATTATCAAGGGCACTCAAAGCAAACCACAATATGTTTCTCTGAAAATACAAAGATTTATTTTACCAGACACGCTTTTACAATATTATAATAATTATCGTTTAATTATGACAATTACACTTTATCATTTTATAGTAATAAAGCTAATAAACTAAAATCGAAATATCAAGAACAAAAAAATTAATACAATTAATAATTTATTCGATGACATATTATCATATTTGTATATAAATATTGTATATACCTACTGTCTGGCCGCTATGTATTACACTGCTGCAAAAATATACGATAATTGACATTGTTGTGTATTAACGAGGAAAGCATATTGTACTAGAAAGTCTGTCATTCCTAAGGTGACCATTTATTTTTTGACTCAAAACGGGACATTGTTTTATTTAGGTTAAATCAAAAGTAGTAAATGAAACAAACAACGCTTTTTAAAGTTATTTATTCAGAAAATGTTAGTTGGCTTAAGAGAGAGTTACGATTCAGAAAGGTACTGTTTAGAAAGGCAAAATGTTTATTTATGTTTATAGGTATTTATCAGAAGAACAAATTTGTTTTAATATAGCTGGTGACGATTTCAAGTAAGAATGAAACTCTTGACACGTTTTTTTTATATTCACCTTAATTATCAACATCGCCCTTAGAACTGAAATTTGTAACTGGGTTTTCTCGGATGTCCACAATTTATTCATAATAGAAAATACCCTTTCTACGGGAGCATTTGTAGCAGGCAAACATAAAATATATTCAATTATAATAGAAAAGTTTTCATGCTGAAGATTATGGAATGACTCATTCCTCATATTTTCCGCCAAAAGTAGGTAATTGTACGCGCGGTAATTTAATGTCACTGCACTTACTGTGCCCTTTTGTATTATATACTAGAGATGAAACGGATATCCGGTAACTATCCGGTATCCGGCCTATCCGGCCTTGTTTTCACTATCCGGCCGGATACCGGATAGTAATACAGTATCCGGCCGGATTTCGGATATTAAAATAAAAATACATTACGTAGTTTACACAAAGCAAATGATACGACATATAGGATAAGAACAAGTTTTATTTTTATAATTGCAAAGTAATTGGTTAAATATTAATCAGTTCGTTTAGTATTCAAAATTAACAAGGGGCAAATTGTGGTGAATGAATACCAAATTTTCCGCATTCGTTGGTAACAGGCGACTCCGCTTGGCTTCGTATACCAGACCCGCTTCTGAAAACAGCCTTTCGCTATAAACGCTGCTGCCAGGTGCTGACCTTGACAACTGCGGGTACTGGTTCACATTAACTGACCACCAAATATATGGGTCGTGATTGCGATCGATACGAGCTGTCTAAGAAAAAATCAATCTCGTTAACAATTGGATTTTGTTTTTCTTGATCGCGACAGTCACTTCTACATATTATCCTTTGCTACTTCAATGAAACAATCCCAAAAAGTGTCATGAGCTTCACGTGTGAAGTTGGATCCAGTTTCATCTTCTTTAGCTCGTTTAGCAGGTGTTGAGCACGGCGTAGATCTATATATAATATATACTGTCGAGATAAGGGTATCTGCACGTGGCGTCGAACACTGATCTAAAGCTTCTAGTAGATTAGTTTTATATTGTACGTATAACTCTTCAAACATCTCGTATTTACCCTCGGTGAAGTATGATTCTTTCTTGTCAACAGAATCACTCGAAATGATCGCCTTGTGTTCATTCTCAAATTCAATAAACAACTGTTCCAATATTTCCAATCTCGTTTCTATATAAGAACGTTTAATTCTATCTTTAGGTGTTTTTTTATAATTTCTCAGCTTTCTTCAAAAAAATATAAAGAAGAACGTGGTTTTACATGCACACTGCCATGTTATAACTAAACAAAATTGTAAAAATAATATAAATCTAAAAAATATTAACAAGTTTTGAGATCTGTTAGGAACTAGGTCAATAAGTAACGCATGTTACATTAGTTAAAAATTTTTTTTTCAAACAAAGTTAAACTTCTTATCATTATTTATCACAATATTCAGTCCTAAAGCTCTGAGATCAAAGTTTACTTACATATCTATCTATTTTGTCAATATGAAAAACTTAAATACTACTTTGTATGAATATCTATAAAGCAATTTCGCCCTTCAACTATACACCGTGCGTTACACTTTGGACAAAAAAATTTGGTTTGATGTTTTGTACATAGTTTATATCTGCCTTTTGTCGTAAACGCAGGAAGATGTCTCATTAAGTCGTAACGAGTAGCATTATCAGGCCTCTCCGCTACTGGTTTTTTTATTATTTTCTCAGCTTTGTATAGAGCATCAGGTTGTAGATTAGAACTCCTCTCAAAAAATAGCTATATTGTGATCGTTAGACACGACTTGTGCAAAAGCTCCCATGCCCATTTTTTTTAACTCTTTATCAGATGGTAATTTTTTTTAATGATAGTTTACATTACATCACCACTCACAAATCGCATCGACAACCACTATCCCACGGCGCAGTCGCAAAAGAGAGCCAATCAAATGTTTTATTGTAAAATTCGTCTCGGTTGCGTTCGGGAATTTTGATAGTTTTATTAAAATTTAAAGTGTGTTTCCTTAATATATATATTAGTTTTGATATTATATTGATGCATTACTAAATCATTAATTTTGATCTTCAATCATCATCATCCGAGCCATGGTTATTATCTTTGAACTCGTCTTCATCATCCATATCCATTGAACCGGATTCTGCTTAATTAAACGTTAATTTTAAAATATAAATAACTTGTAAATTGATTCGAACATATTCGATAAAGAATTGATTTTTATTAACTTACCAGGAACATCGGTGATTAAGTCACTCACAAAAGATGGAAGTCGACCTCCTAGTTTCTTGACCTGCTCAATCCAACCATAATCGAAATGGTATTAAATCAGTAGGTTGCTTTTTGTAAGCATTTTTCTAAATTGTAGAAATATAATGACCTCTCAGAAATTGTTGGTAGAATTCACTCTTACACGGTGGAAGTGAGGTTGCCTCAAATTTTAAACTTTGTTCGCTGAAATTTTCATTGATGTCTGAAGCTTTGTAATTACGGACAAATAGTTGGAACCTTCCATCATTGACGTCCTGCGATTTTTTGGCATTGTAGAGTTGGCAAACAAATTGTTGAATAACATTAAATTGGTGTTGTAATTAGTCCTTTTTAAATTTTCTTCACCAAGAGCAGTAAATGCTTCTTGGAATGCTGTATTTATTTTTAGCAATGTAAAAGGTTTTTTCTTTCCTTTATTAAAAAAGCGGGATTAAAATTACACCCAGTGAACGCATGGAAGACGATTAAACTTTTAGCTAACCATTCACCAAGCTCTGTTTAAATTTTTGTGATGTTAATATATCTTTCATTATTTCCTGTTCCATTGAGTATCCAAATATTAGATTTTACCAATCATTTGATTAAAATATCGGTGTCAGAGGCTTTGATAACAATTTTCGACTGCTCAGCAATATTACAAGCATGATACATAGATTATTGTGTCTGCTTCTTCCTGTGCAGTACAACATAAATATTCAACAATACTTACTGTATCTTCTCATCAACAACTTGATATGATTGACAAAACAAATAAATTTAAAAAATAAAATATGTACAAATTATAATTATTTTTTGTCCTTAGCAGTACCTATACTTTAATATTTAAGATTTTTTCGTTATGTATCTCCTTTATCGTTTAACTTTAAAAGTTCAGTATGTAGACTACATGGAATTTATTAAATTCATTAAATACAGCGATTAAGTAAATTATATTAATGTAAAACTGCTATCGTAATATATAGACATCTGACCGGGTAGTGTATCTCAGATTTATTTATGTGCTGATGTTTATATGAAAAAGTCTGCCATTCACAATATAAGTTTTTAAGACTATAATAAATAAAATATATTGATGGCATATCTGGTCAATTACTTTCAAAAAAATTTTTTTTAACATTTACAAAATCGTCTGCCACAATGTTAAACGCGAATTACGTTTGGTGGCAGCGAAGGATGCAAGAAAAATCCGTTTTACTTACAAAATATATTCAATTACCAATTAAGAATTAATTTAACTACTAGCTAGGGCGGGGTCTTTAAGTCAGAGATTGACTTAAAAGCCATTCTATAATTAAGTCTTATAACTAACTACGTACTAAAGAGGTGTCTGTAAGTCAGCGGTTGACTCCAGACTGAATATATGTAAAATCCCATTCCACTTCACTTTCCCAGTCCCACCGATGGCTCAGAGTCAGCATTCCGTACTTTACACCATTGTTATACCGAAAACTTAATATCGGGTTATGCTTGCGTAACACCTCCCCCCGTAGAACAGCGTCTATTGAAGACCTTGGTCGTAAATGGCACTGGCAGACGACCTGACCCGTCTCCTTGAGCTTCAGAGATGACGTAGATGCTTTGCTGTGGATTTTCATTTTCACTGGAATGTCCCACCTTAAGCTTTTTGTGTCTAAGGTGGTATCTTCGATATGCAAGGCCGCTCATGAGTAGAAGCGTGAACAG